AGTGCCCTGAGTACTCATAAAGTACTGTTTGTGCTAATGTGGCCAGCTGAGGGCATAAGATCCCTTGGAACTAGAGACACCTTTGCAAGCTTCCTGGCAAGACAGGGGACTTGGGTCCTCTGTAAGAGCAGCAAGTGCTCCGACCCACTGAGTCATGGCTCCATCCCCTTAACACATTGAAAAGCATTGTGCTGTGTTAGCATAGCAAAGTCATAGCAAAGCAAAATGAGATAAAGGAACTAAGACCTGTTTGAACCATGCTGTATAACAATGCTGCTTTGCTTTAGGCATTTCAGTAATCTCTTCTTATATACAATGTGTGTAGGGTAGGGGTGCTATGTTTAGTCAACTTTCTTTGTTAAGGTGTTTGAACGAGAAAGAAATTTTAAAAGAGGTGGTTTACAGCTGCTAAAATTGCTGAAGTCATAGACATGAGGTTTACTGTCAGAGCTAGAATCATAGGTAGTTCTGGCAAAGAGCACACACGGGAATTGTAGGTAACTTCTCAGAGAGCACACACAGTTCCTAGCACTGAACATTACACCTGAGATAGCATCAGTGGCCACTGCAGTTGGAAAGACTTCTGTTGTGGGTCCCTTTCAAGCATGGCTCCTGCTTGCTGTGGTCTAACCATAAGTGCTATGGACAAGTACTGACGGAATGACTAATGCAAAGAAAGGGGGACATTGAGTTTTCCTCTCTTCTTTCTTTCTTTCTTTCTTTCTTTCTTTCTTTCTTTCTTTCTTTCTTTCTTTCTTTCCTTTTCTTCCCATTCTCCCTTCTGTTCTCTACCCCTCTCATCTTTTCTCCCCCTCCCTATTCTCTCCTACATCGTTCTCTTCCTCTTCCTCTGCTTTTTTTCTCTTCCTTTCCTTAATGTTTTATCATGATCTGAGCAAAGTTTTATTCTTTTTGGTGAGTTAAAAAACATCATACTTATTTTATCACAGCACACCCATCAGTTAAACAATTTCTACATAGCAAACCCAAAATGTATATATCATATGCATATGTCACTGTGTATACATAGATGTGATTATAGACATGCTCTATTCCATCTTCTCATACCTCTTCTAAAAGTAGTGTGTGACCTACTTATGCAAGTGTAGAAACTCTCAGGCTCAAAACACAATAGCTGGAGCTTCCAGAGATGGCGAAATTTTAATATAAATACAGCTAAAGGTATTTCTTATTCCTAAGCTATAATATTTTCATTTGCCATTTACTCTTCAAAACATATTGAAAAAGTTTTTTTAAGAAATAGACTACTCTTATTAAACATTTTTTCTTATCTATAATTCACCCTCAGTCCTAAAACAGAGAGATTAACACCATTGTAGACTCATCTACTAACAAAGGTAAAGCCCCAGACACATTGTGAAATGGCCTGGAAATTTTCATGTCTCTGGCAAGTCTGGCTTCAAGAGATGTCAGATTGTACACAGGATTGGAAATAAACTGGAAGCAAATTTTGTTCCAGAAGATTTATTTTGGATTTTGCCCTTCAAAGGCATTTTTTTTCTGGTAATGAAAAGGTACAGAAAGTTTTACACAGTTGAAATGTAAATATTTCTGATTTTATAAAAAGATGAAGTGTATATATGCGCATGTGCATTTGTGCACGTCTCTGCATGTGCAAGCGTGTGCGTGTATGTGTGTGGATGCTTGAATGACTGGAACACAGCTTAGAGTCATTGTTTCCTTTCAACCATATTGTTTCTAGAGACTTCACACAAGTTATACAACTTTGTGGCAAGCACCTTAATAACCTTCTGCCATCTTGTTAGCCCTTGCCAGTATTCTGGTTCAATGGTTACTGCACATTATTTTTATACTATTTAAGTAGAGCTCCTATTTACCGAGTGTATGTCACAACTTTCATGACAGGTTGGCATAGCCTTATAGTAACTGGAGTGACCGTGTATAGACAGTTTATGGATGTGTTCCATCGTACTTCTAAAGATTTTGTTGCATACAGGGTAGGTACTCTGTCCCTTCTTCACCTCCAATTTCCTTCTTCCTTCCCCTTCCTATAGGTAGCCCCTACTTTCTTTCTCATCCTTAAGAATTCAAACTGAGACACAATTATTTCCCAAGTAGTTCAAAACCCAATTTTTACAAAACAAACTCGAACTATATTTAAAAACAAAAAACTACATTTCACAAAGTAAAATAATATGGATCCATATAGCATACCCTCCCCAATTAATTGTAAACTTAGTGTTGCATAACTTTTGTGTAAGGGACCACACCTTCTCCCTCCTTTACAATCTGGAGTCACAGTTCCCAGTTGCTCTTGACGCATATCTCTGGAGATTAGTATGTCTCCCTAAGTTGCTGATATGTCCTGATGTTCACTGTTTCCATGCATGCTCCTTCTAATTTAATATTATGTATTATGAGTTGCACACTATGTACATGTTCACCTATACACAGCACATACAATTAACAAATACATGTGAGTTGTTTCTACCATAACTAATGGATCTAAATTCATTAGCCTGAAATTCAGGGCACATTGTGCATTTCCCAGTCACTCTTACCTCCAGCTGCATGTAGATATGTCCAGCTTGCTTTTACTAGGTAATGCACAATCCTGCCAATTCTGAAAATCTATAACCCCAGAGCCCTAGGGGCCCCTCTCTAATGGAAGGAACACTCCCTGTTGGGCCTGGGTCAATGACTGCTAGAGACAGTTGTGTAAGTTACCAAGGGAAGTATTTTATTCTCAGCAGCTGAACTCAGGACCCCTTTTAATATGGGTTGAATCTTATAATGGCTTAGTTGGTCATGTCAAGATGAACTATCAATGAGTCCCCTGGATGTTTTTAGTGGTTGCAGAGACAGATGACATGCAAGTCTGTGAATGAAGAGGACTTTACTTAATGTGACATTGTCACCCAATCTCTTTAGACTTATCCATTCTAATTCACTTAAGCCTCTTTTGAATGTTCAGTACAACTTGTCTGTTTAGAGCATTTCAGTTCTACTGATGTGCTTTTCAATTAGTGGCTCAGAAAATTAGCAAGGGTGACATAAACAGAGTGAACTGTGCTCTTCCAAGCCAGGATTCACAGCTTCCCTGCTCAATGACTGCAGCTCCAGGTCCTCATTCTCAAACCTCAGTGTAATAATAGGTCAGAAAATGTCTCTTCTCAAATCCTGATTAGAGTTCTCTTGACTTCCACGAATTGAATACATTTCAGTTGGCACCTAAGACAATGTACTAGGTAGCAATTGCTCATGACACTCCCAGCATCTTGTTGTTAATATGTGTGGCATAAATCTAAACTCCATTTTCACCCATGTGTAAGCAAGCATTGGATTCTCTCAGTCCACAGCAGCTGTATGATATTCTCTCACTTTTTCTGAACTTTACAGATCATTTATTTCTCTCCTTGCCAAGGTGAACTAAGGAGCCAGGATGCAATTTAACATTCATGGATATTTCAGACATAGAAATATAATATGAGGTTTGATTTACTAAAATGTTCCTAAGCTTAAATTAAGTAAAGTAGTACACAGAAAAATAATACCATCCCATAGGTTTATATTTGTAGAAGAAATATAGATAGCAGAACTTATTTAACTTTATTTTGTATCTGTAACTTAATCTGAGATTATTCTTACAGAAGGCCAAATTATGATGACAAAATTTGTGTTAAAGTCTTCCTAATGTTACAACAAAATGATCTGCTAATTTATGGGAAAGCTGTGTCTCTCTCCAGTGATTTGTAGTCTTGTGAAAAACATTCTGTCAATTTCTCTGTCAATCCTCTGAGTTTCCTATTTACTTTTTTTCTTTTGTAAAGAATAAAAGTCACTGTTACTTTACTTGACACATTTAATTGATGGATATATGTAGTTAGGGTTTACTATCAACAGATGAACTGTTATAATTTACTAGAGTTCATGAAAGTTTGAGGAAATATAAACTTTTATAGAACAACTCTCCAGAATTTGCATGTCACTCTCAAAGTCTAAAGTTAAATTCCTGAAGATGACACCTACACTTTCCCATAGAACTGATCTTAAGCTATGTCACCTCCCTGCTTCTATTATGCACTTGGAGATTTTGAATCTGTAGAATAGACTGGGGGAAAAAAGCCTCTACTATATTGAATCAATTTAACAATTAGGGAAGGTAAACCTTTAAATTAAATTGATATGATACCTATTTTATAAACAATAAGACAACAAGAATAATTCATTCTCCGTGTATTTCTAAAACTTTCATACTGATTATTCAAATATATATATATTGACACTGAAACAGAGCATGCCCAGTAACGTTGGTTTGAAATAGTGTGTTGGTACCTACTTAGTTATAGGTATTAAATATGTGTTTATTCATGTATTTTAAATATTGCAGGATTCCATTTTAAGAATCATTACTAAGTCACACAATAAGTAGTTTCACAATAAACAAGCATAATTAATATTGAATGATATGCATTTATGAGTGCCATGCAAATAAAACAATATTCTTGACAAACAGCATGCATCATCTTTGTGCAGGCGATGCCTAGCTGGCTCTGGTGGACAAGAATGCCTCTCTCTGCCTGTGACTTCCTGTTATCCTAACTTAATCACTTTCTTCAAACTGAACAAACCAACAATTGCCAAATCCTCCTGCCAGCAAGTCAGACACTGACTGCTAAGATAGAAAGGCTCAGGGTCACACCAATTTGGGGCTACCCTTTTCTACCTTTCATGCTCACAGCAAACCAAAACCAAACTAAAGTAACTGTGTGATATTTTGACTACAAAATTTCTGTGATATCCTAGTGCTTATTTATACCAAAATGAAGGAAGTATATTTAGTTCAAACACAAAATACCCACTCAATTTGGGCACATATCAGTCATTAGCATATGAAGGCAGCCCCATGAACGAGAAGCTGCAGAAATTACACACACACATACAGCTTTCTTGCTCTGGGTTGCAGTTAACATCTATTTTTCCAATGAAATTTATTAAAGTGAAGATAACAGGTGTACCTGTTTTCTGAATCACAGTCAAAATCACACTCTTCAAAATGGCAGCAGCTTCTGTAAAGTAATCCTTTTGTGGTCTTCATGCAGAAATGATGCTCGGCAGGACTTGAATGGCATTAAATAGCAATCTTCTAAAAATTCCTGTGGAGAAAATGTTGTGAATATGAATAAAAATAATTCTCTGATAGGTTTTCAGTTAATTTAAGCCCATATTTTTATTAAACATTATATGTCATGGCTCTATTTACTTATGCTTTGAATCTCAATATTGACTCATATACACAAATGATGATACTGTTTTTAATGTGATGTATTTAACTAGCTGAATTTTCTTACATGATTACAGTAGTGAAGATTAGCACATCCCTTTATATGCACATTTTCACAATTCCTCAGTTTTTAAGAGATACATTATATTTTATGCTATCCTTATAATTTTCAAAGTTTTTATTTTGTATTTTATTTATGGGATTTAAAACCTAGTAAGTAGTTGAAATTTTGAACCATTTAGGTCACCAAGTCATTGGTTCTCTGGTGAACTTCAAAGAATTTGCATGTATGAGGTTGTATCTATTTTGAACAATTTAAGTGAAGTTCACTCTTAAGTAAAATTCTCCATTTAATGAAATTATTTTTGTTTCTATAATAATGCTTTTGGTAGACTCAAAGTGTGACAAGATCTGTAATCAACAGCTATCAGGAACTGATGTGGTAGTTTGAACACAAATATCAGTAGCCCAGAGACATAGTCAGGGTCTATATTCCTTTGTTCATTTGAGTCAGGAGGGTTACCTTTTATGTTGTAGTTAGACATTCTGCTTTCAAGTGATCAAGTATGGCCCATCTATCTTAAAGAGATCTGCTTTTTACCCTCAACTGATTAGTATATAAACCATATCCAGAAATAGTTTCACTGTCATCTTCAGAATGATCAAAGAAATGTCTGAGAACCTGCCAAGTTGACTCAACATTAATCACCATATATTCTTATAGCTGTACACTCCTTCAACTGTCTACAAATTAGTTTACATAACACTATGTTCTACCAAAGTCAATGGCTGCCTTCACTTGCATACCTAGAATTCACTCATTTCTCTTTCGATACATTGCACACCTACTGGTCCTGGCCCTTTTGAAAAACAATCATCACAGTCATTGGCTCCTTTTCCTCTTTTATCTCCTCTCATAGGAGCAGCCATTTCCCTAGTAGTCAAAGCTATAGAGTTTTCAGCCTTTCTAGACTTCTCATTCTCCCTCTGTATTCTATTAGTTTCTAAATCATATTGATTGGTGCTATGTAATCTCAGCTCTTTTTCTCTCCATTCCCAGTCCTGCTGTGGTCCAAGAGAGCAGTTTTATACATTGCCATTGAGTCAGCCCTACTAGCATCCACAATGACAGTGTAGACTGCAAATCAGAAAATAGGAGAGTGGGTACTGATACTTATTAGCATGAACTTTTATTTATATGTACTCATGAATTTACTTATTATCAGAACTTTTATTTGTATGTACTCATAAATCAAATTCATTTTAATATATCTTTTCTTGATTCTCCATTGCATCTTATGTCCTATGCTACCTACTTAAAATTTAAGACTAAAAAAGCCAAGGATGCTGAGCTTAAAAGAAAGTACGATGAGCACCCAGCCAGTTCTAACACTGTGTGATGAGTTCTGTAACAGTAGTTCTACTACAGAACAGGTGCTATGACATCCAAGGATTGCTTTTAAGTGACTATTGAATTACCAAAGATTACAGTCTACAAGAACAAATTATAAACAGAAAAACAAAACAAAAACAAAAAAATCCCAAATGTATGTATGATCATAGTTGTATTCAGAGAGATGAACCAAGTCATGTGGTTACGGATATTATCTGATATGTTAAGAAAAATTCAAAAGAATTATTGAAATTAGTGCTAATTATAACACTAGTTTACAGACTTATGATAAGTTATTATAGTTTATAAACCACATCTAGATATATTAGCGGAGGTAAGTATAAACCCAGTATGATTCAGTAGATAAGGAATGTTGATTTCCAGAGACATAACCACATCTAGATGGTTGCAGAATGGCTGATTCTTATAGTCTGTAAAAGCTCAGTCCACTTCCTTCCTCTGTAGAAACAGGGCAAATATTTCACCATTTAGGGATGGTGACCATCACTGATCTTCCACTGAGGCTGGGACTGTTCAGATATCCAACTGATGTCAAATGCCCTCATCTCTCTTTGCAAGGGTATTCAAAACCATAAGTGTTGATTATCTTTTGTTAACCATTTATGATGTGCAGTCAGTTTTTAATGATACCAGGTGGGCCATCCTGATTCCAGATTAACTACCTTCCACTCACATGATTTCTTCCCCAGCTTGCTGCCACCTGTCTGGTACCAAAGCTGCTCAACTGTGGAAGCTGACAGCTGGTTCTTCAGTGGGGAGTGATGGGAGCAGAAGTCAGGTGAAAATGGTTCATTAGCAATGAGATGGAAAAATCTGCAGCCTCCCTGAGGACATCTTGGGTGATGTGTCTGCCTCCTAATTTACTGGACAGAGAGTGAATTATGAAAATAAAATAAGAATTTTCAATAGTTTTAGGGGTTCCTAGGATATGATATCATCATCCTTGACATACTGATTTATCTTTCAGCTGAGATTTCCATTTTGATATGAAATATAACAGAGAGGCTGAAGATAAATTCTCTGATAGCTTGGTTTCACAGGGTGTTAGATAAGAAGGAACCCACACTGGAAAGTTGGCTCGTGAGATTCTGGTCACTCACAGACTGTCTGAGGTCCCATAATTCCTTCAACTCTAGTCTTCAACAACATGTCAAGAGAACAGAAACTAAAGCCATAACAATTTCACCATGCTTGTAGACTTCTTTCTTTTTATGTCCCATTTCCTTTGATTTATTTACTGAGAATTACTAAGATTAGTAATTAAATAAGTAAATAAATAAATAAATTATCACAGTAAATAAATCTGATCTATCTCTCAGCTGTGGGCTTTGAAACTGTTTAAGTCTCTTTCAGTTTTGTGCTAGAAGGTTTGATGTCCCAGAAACAAATCTTTATATACTTGGAATTATTATTATTTTATACTTTTTTAAATTAAATGTGGGCCCCCACACATATTCCAAGACGTATGTGTTGAAGCCAGCAGCCAGCTTGCAGTAGTCCTCCCTGCTTACCATTTGGGTCCAGAGGATCAGGTTCTGGTTGACAGTCTTAGTGGCTTGTTCTTTTACACATTAACTATCTTGCCAGCTCTTGAAATAAAAATACGGTGCTTTTATAAATGATATAAAGGTACAATGTCCTGAAATTAGGATTTTTGCAAGAACTTCACATCTGCTTCACAGCAGTGTGATTTAATCCTTTGCACACATATATTCGTACAGGAAGTCTATTGTCACAGAATACTTCCCATTCGCACAGAAAGTCCATTTTCAGTTCTTGAATCATTCACACACATAAACTTTTTAATAGTAAATCGATTATCACAGAATATTTCATAAGTAATCTTAAATTAGAGAGATAAATTACACTTAACTAATGACTGTGACTAACAGCCTGGTTGGTGTAGTAGTACATGTCTCTAATCCCAGGCAGAAACAGGAGCATTGCCCAATGTTTGAATCTAGCATGGTCTACATAATGAATTCCATGCCATCGTGGGCTATTTAATGAGAGGCTGACTCAAAGAACAAGTAAACAACAACAAAATCTTATTTCTAAGATACAAATCATAGCAACACTAACAGCATAATTAAAAAAAAAGTCCCAAATCCTCAAACCAAAACCAAACAGAAACAACAACAACAACAAAATTCCCACCAAAACTGCATGGTGGCATTTTCTTATGCTAGAAACACACTGATACAAGAATAACTCTTGAATCAGACCAGCAAAATCCCAAAAATAAACTTTTCTAAAGTCTCTCCAGCCCTTTGTCATCTGGACTCCCCTTTCACATGTGTGCACTTCTTTCTGGCCCTTTTCATTACCTGGTGGCCCTGGACTCTGCCATTTATGACAGCCACTCTAAGTCACACTGGTAGGTCTGCCACTATTAGTTAAGAATTCTATTCAAGTTCAGTGTAAGTAGAATTTTTCTCCTATAATCCTTGGCATCCTCAGTAGTGAAGGTCATAGGGCTGTCTGTAGCAGACACTCAAGCCAAGAATGAATTGGTTGTTGAAACATTTTATTCACAATACCATGAACTCCCTAACCATCCCTGTTGCTGCCATGTGTCACCCTTTTACCACATGTACCTTCTAACTAAAAAAAGAGTCTTTTTTATCTCCATAAATCCAATAGCACAGAACAAAACTGCTTTTCTGACATAACAAATCCGTTCTCCAAGAGAAGCAGCAGATTGCAATGAGTTTAACAGGCTTAGTTCTCTGCAGAGTACTAGAGTCTGTGAGGGGCTCCAGGGCGGGGGAAAGGTGTCTCTCCGCCTGCCCACCACAGGCACACAGCTGTTAGCACTTCTGGTGTCAAGGCACAAAAGTCAGGGAGGTATTGGTAATGAGGTAACGCCCATGGAAAGAGGGCCAGCGGCCTGGCCTCATGCCAGGGTGGAGAGTCATTTAGCTCTAGGCTTCTGGGAGCTGAGCTTCTGTTATCACCACCCTCTTCAATTGCCCCTAACTGAACGAAGGGATTTGCTTCACATCATGAAATAGAAGCATGTTCCTTGACTGTTCAAAGGAGTCATTTTTAAAAGTGAAGACTAATTGGGCTAATTTGGCTGTTATGATTTAGCTTTCTGTAATTCATAAGGATATAAACTATGGGAGGAAATGGTTTGAATTAAAATTAATTTTTTAATCCTCTCCTGCAAAATTATCTCTCCTTAAGAACCAGAATATATTTGAAAATTTTCAAATGCAGATGTACAAAAGTATTTATTTTTGTAGCTCTATGAGCTACATACTTAAAAAAACTTAAAATATTTCAGAAATAATGTATTTATGAAACTCTTTTAATCCTTAAAGAACACAAGAACAGTTTGGAAAAAATGTTAAGACAATTTTACTTTCTCTTTCTTTCTTGGGACCATGGTATGATTTATGTCCTAGCTATAAGAGCTAAGAGGCATGTGGACAATGCCTTTCTTGGGGATGGGA